TGTATGGTTAAAAAATAAAAAAAAATTTAGATTTCCGTATAATATTATTTTATTGAAAAAAAGATAGATAATAATGTATTTTGAAAATAATGAAACTCAAGCAAAGGCTTAATAAAAAAATTGAATTTTTAATTGACACCTGAGGATAAAACTATTTTATTGGGGATGTAAGTATTACAAAAATGTAAGATGAAGACCATGGTTGACAAAAAATTAGGTTGTGATCTACTTGCCACACCCAAGAGATGAGAGATCATAGTTATAATATTTCGGATTGTATGTGAAATTGCGAATAAGTACAATAGTTTTATGAGAATATCAAAATAGGATAAGAATATTTTTCACATTTTCTCATAGCATTTTCCTATTTTTTTTTAATCATACATTCTCCAAAATATTCACATTTCAAAAAATAAAAATTAAATAATTAAATAATCACCAAAAAATTATGTTAAGATATCGATTTTATTTTTTTATGCTCTTATTATTTGAGTTGGGTATTGATCTCATTTTATCTTTATCTTTAATTAAATTAAACAAATAAAAAAAAGAGGATAACTTTTTATTAACTTTCTAGTTACTTTTTAAGATGATTAGTAACGAGTCTTATGAAATCCGTAGACAGTAAATAGTTAATAGATATGAATTTATATTTGATATTAATGATTGACTTTAACATGATAGAAAAATAAAAATTTTAACAATTTTTAAAAAAAGGCAAACACATTACATATTCAAAAGCATTTTGCTTTAGCTTTTTCTATTTTTTAGTTATTTATAATTTTTATTAATAAAGATAAGATTAAAATTGTCTTTTTAGTAAAAATGAGGAATGTTTAATTAATACACCAGGGGAAACTATTTCATTGGGATAAAGTGTTACTATAATGTAAGGTGAAGACCATGGTTGTCAATGAAATAGGTCGCCAAAACTCCTATTTTTAGTCACGCAGTTACACAATAAAATATTTCGTACGTAAATCCAAAATTTTTCCTTACTTTTTAACCACATGGTCTCCAAAAAGTTATTATTCAAATCTTAGTAAACTTTTTTCCCATGGATCTTTGAAAACTTTTGTTTCCAATCTTAATTTTCATTCCAATCATAAGGAAAGTACAAAATAAAAATAAGAATATTCTAATTATAAGAATAGCTGCACTATTCCTGTGAAAATACCTTTGTAAATTTTTGATATTTTAAGCCCTAAGATTAACATTAGGAGATGACTTCAAGTTGATCGACCCATATCCTCACCTAAACCATTACCAGTGCACATGTCATTTGTATTATAATATAGTTTATATAATTAATTTGGTTTTTATAACTTGTGTGGGCATCGAGATCTGATAAAAGAAAAAGAAGAAAGGGTCACATGCAAGGTTAAAAAAAATTATTTCTCACGCTTTTCATAGTTTTTCTCTATTTTTAATCACACTTTGTAAACAATCACTTTTATATGTTATTATTGTTTCTATTTTTAATTGATGTGAAATTTATCCCTTAAAGATACCCCACAAAATGGTGACTTGTTCGAAAACACAAGTCTCGAAATTCTTGTGCTCATTTGAGTTTTGATCAGATCGAATATTCATGCCTTGTTTGGTACATATTAATCTAAAAATGAGAATGAAAAATATAACCGTTATGGGCTCCACACAAGAGATAGAAAGTCAAATATGGTAGTTTGATATGATGAATAACGATCATATTTTTCATTTTAATGAGAAAAAAATGAGAAACAAATGGGGGCTCAAAACCCTAAATTAATGTGCTCAAAGAAACCGCCAACTAACAAAAAACATGTTAAAAAGTTGTTCAAATTTGAAATATCAACTACTGCAATAATAATAAATATAATAATTTCTAGTCGATCGATAGTATTTTTTCACATGTTGTTTGTCTTCATATAAATTTTCACACAATTAATTAATTTGAAATCTAGGAAATCGTATTCCTTGTAATACCGCACTAGCTAGAGTATTGTTATTGTCAACCCGTTAATTGTCCCGTACGTCTTGCACCAAACAACAGCTGTTTATTGCTTAATTAATTAAAAAATATTCTCTTTTCTTGGTTGCTTGGATTACAGTAATAATGGAACCCACTTTGTTGTCAAGAAAGAATTTTTATTTATTATTAAATAATTAAGCATTAATACCACACCAAATGAACATTTATTGAACATTGGGTCATGATAAAGATTTTTCATTTAGATATTCATTGAAGGAACTCAACGTTGTCTAATACGTTAAATCATATTATTAAAGTAGAGCAAGTCTATTTATTTATATTGTCACTACACTTTACTTGCAAGCAAATTCACGTGAGTTGAACTCAAAATCATATTTTATTTTGATACGATATTGAATTATCTTGTTTTCAGATCTTCCTCAATTAGCGTAGGACAAATTCAAATTGTTCCAATAACAGGTAATTCTCACATCTCGTGAATAGTCGAAACATTAAGAAATATTTAGAAAGACATTTCGTGACATATATGATAGAATCGATCGTAATCATAGAATACAACCCTAATCAACATGCATATCTTTGTCTCATACATTATAGGGACGTTGGACCCAGGGGAGAAGGCCAAGGCCTATCCCAAGACTATTTAATTTTCTAAGGTTTTTATCGATTATTAGTTCAGTATACAAAAAAAATAAAAAAAATAAAAAAATGTTATCTCCCCTAACTCCGTCCTTGGACTTGGGCCATTTCTAAATAATAACACACTCTCTCCGTCCCATTATTTACATTAGGGGTAATATATAATTTTAACTATATTAATTATATTTTTTTAATCAGTGTGAAAATGGAGTATACAGCTATGGAATTCTTGATATGAACAAAGCGTATGCTCCATTGGCAGCCCCCCACTTGTCTTTTTCTATATAAAAACACTCTAAACTCGTCAATATAAAACACACTCTTCTATAGTTTCTGCAAGAAAAGAAAAGCAGTGGCTATGGCTATATACAATATTCTTCTGTTCTTCCTTTTGTTCTGTCAATTAGGCCTTAAAATCACATCATCTGATGAACAGGAAACACCAAAACACACTCTACAAGAAGCCTACAATGTTCTTGGAATCAAACCAAATCCTGATGGCTCATTAACAAGAGAGATTAGAATCCCAATGGTAAATGCAACTCCAGATATTGAACCTACTTCAACTACTCAAATTGCACTCTCCAAAGACATACCATTAAACCCTTCTACCAAAACCTTCATACGTCTCTATAAACCCTTAAAACCCACAAAAAATAGCAAGATTCCACTCATAATCTACTTGCATGGGGGTGACTTTGTACTTTTCAGTGCAAAAACTGTCATTTTTCATGAATTTTGTAATCAGATCTCAGCGCAGTTTCCGGCAGTGGTGGCGTCGGTCGAGTACAGGCTTGCCCCCGAGCACCGCCTCCCAGCAGCCTACGATGATGCCATGGATGCTATCATGTGGGCTAGAAAACAGGCTGTGTTTGTTAATGGCGGCGATGCATGGATAAAATTGGTTGACTTTTCTCGTGTTTTCTTATTGGGCAGTAGTGCAGGAGGAAATATAGTATACCATGCTGCCCTACGTGCACTTAATCTTAATCTTTCACCAATCAAGATCAAAGGGCTGATAATGAATCAGCCTTATTTTGGTGGGGTCCA